AAGTAACCTACTTTTAAAAGAGTGAAATACTATACGAAACTACGTATGGTTCTTACATGGAAATGACACAACCATTTTGAATTAACATTCGACTGAATAACTCGAATAATGCAAACGACTTTAATATTTCAACAATACTTTCATGTGTGCACAATTCATTAAAAGGATACAACCCTTAGAATTGACATAAAATTTCAAGTCTCAAACTTGATATATATTCATCACTTGGACTTACCAAGTGCAATGACCAAAGAATATAATCTCTTTAAACACGATATATCCATAAGATTAAGTAATTATTGAAACACACTTCTAAGCATGTTTCAATGCTCATTTTAACCAAGATAAAAAATTTCAATTTTTTGGTTATCTAAAGGGGCAGAATACCTTTAAATAATATAAAGTAGCAGAGTAAGAATACGTGACTCACGTCACAAAACAACAGCTGTAATACATGTTATAGACTATAATATATTATAAATTATTACATAAAACCTTAGACTTATAGATAATGTGAACAATGTCAAACATTAAAAATCATAATAAATTACATAGTATTTATAACAACAATAATATAATGGAAATTGTATATAATAACCTAAAGGAAGAACCATAGAGAATTACACAATGGATATAGCCTTGAACAGTCGACATAATGTAAATGATATACATGCACATGTACATTGTAAATGGATTAATCAGTCAACAGAAATTCAGTATTTGGAAAATTGTCAAAATATCTATTTGGATGGAGTTAACCTCAATTCCCCATTGTTAGTTATGCAGGGTTGATGCATGCAAAATGCGTCAAATTATTTGCGTGGTAATTAATATACCCCGATCCCTTATGCAACATGATCCTCTAGAGTTGAAATACACTAATTGCACACTGTATGGTGTCTTCATTCGCCAAAAAGCCCAGGGAGAAAAGTAGAACGTATAACAGAATTGCACTCAGTTATTCAGTCTTTCACAATAAAATTCTATTATATAGAACGGTGAATATTACCAGACGATAATAATAATGATTATTTATAAACAATAACGAATAACTACTAATTATATGTGTAGAATAAACCATTACATCAAATTACTAGTAAATATCTGCCCTACATTCTATAAATGAATGTTTAGTAATAAAAAGCTATCAACCCAAAACTATCGGTGTTATGGATTAATTTTCATTTAAAGGAATTATAAAGAGGTTTTCTAAAAATTTGTGTATTGGGGACACTGATAGCATCGACTTGCACCATTCCAATTTTCAGTCCATGTTGATGACGCCACTAATCGCAAAAAATGCTTTATCACATAAGACCATACGCGAATAGTGACGTCATCAAGTGTATTTAGAAGGGTAACCCAATCGACGGCGACCTATGAGCCGTATATGCCTACCATCGTTATTGACTAATTGACACTACCATTTACAATTACACCTTAATTATCTCCCTTGAAATCATTTGGCAGAAACACACTTTCTATTATAATCTATGATGGTAAAGTCATTTACTCACTTCATAAAACGTTAACAATTTTTTTCATAGCGACCTGAATTGAGAAAATATCTGACAGATTCTAATTATACATATACGCTGTTGTAGTGCAATTAGTACGAAACTTTCTGGATTTATATATGACCTTTGATTTTTGTATATTAACCGGAAGTGTATTTGAGGAAATTAGCATAGTTTCTGAGGACTTCTTGCAACATTTTCAGCCAGGTTTCTAAACAAATTTCCTTTTAAAAAAGAAGGTGAATTGTTTGACTGCTGATTTATACATTCACGTAGCCCGTGCCCTCTTCCCGAAACCTCTCCTCTTCCAAAATCTTTCCGACGGTCATAATATAAGGAGAAAAGTTACTAGCCAGCAAGTCACAGATCATTGAGATCAACAAAGGGTCTCTGATGAGTGACTCGGTACAGAAAATCATCTCTTACCAAAAAATGGCAAAAGGAACATAATTATGTATTAGGTACGATAACATATAAGTACAATTATATGGCCTATTGCAGATATCTACTATCAATGGATGGTGTTATAACCATTATCGACCTTAAAGATTCTTATTGCAATAATGGCGAATGTTTCATAATTTGGAATGGTTGTAAAGCAACATAAGGTAAAGGGGACGGTTCATGAGGGGATACCACGAATCTGGACGGGGCATCCCGAGGAGGATATTTGGTTATCCAATATGCTTACTAATGTTGCATGACTATAATTGAAGCTTATTCAGTCACTACTGCTAGCACAAACGTATCATCATTGATTATATGATAATCTATTCTAATCTGTATAAGAACTTGGTTATTTATAACTAGTATGGTCATCGAGTCGAGAATCGTGCAAACCATAACAGGGAATATGACACGAATTAGTGACCCAGTATCAATCCCTAATTGGTGTTGCTTAGAACATGGACTCTGTCTTCGCGTCGAACACATCCAATGACGAAAATACACACTTGTAATTAAAACAACAAACAAACTTACAGCAGGGTTCGTGTCATGTACCGAACACGTCAGGAACATGAATAAATTAATACCAGTGGTGAAAACAGTAAAAACAGTATTCCAGTGGCTTGAAAACTATAAGATGAACACAACACAAGTGAAAAAATCCACAACATAACTATTAAATAAATAACAGAGAGACACATTAAATGACTGAACATGGTGAACGTTGGAGGGTTTTTAGTCGTCTGCTATCATCAATCTGTCACAAACCCACTGTTGGCGGGTAAACCTTGCTGTTGGCGCCATCTTGCTAATCTGTTCTGGAACCATAACTGAAATAAAAATAAAAATTGATTTGATTATAGATGTATAGAGCAATCAGTTCACGCAGGACAAATATTTATAGATATAGTGATGTTTTAAAGTGAAACCCTTAGAGAGGTTGTAGAGGTACAATTTTGAAAGTAAATGGGGAGATAGTGCGGTTGCAATCTGTTTTGAGCTTCAGAGAGCTATAGCGCACTCATATTTTCATATAGGCTCCAAATTACCAATATTAAAGGGATTGTCAAGAGGCTCTCTAAATTTGTTCTGTGTATTGGGGACACTCATAGCGTCCATTTGCAATTTCACTAATCTTCGCGATTATGTGATAAAGCATATTTTATGCGATTAGTGACGTCATCAAACACGTAGTTTTAGTGGATAGCAGAAACCACAGACGTCTGGTTGAAAATTGGAATGGTGCAAATTGACGCTATCATTGTCTCCGATACACATAAAAATTGTCGAATACCTTTTTACAATTCCTTTAAGAGATGCATGTATTCTAATGATAAACAAGATCATAAAAAGGAAAATAAAGTTTGCCCATAGGACATGACATAATATTATGAGTGTCAAGTAGACCATATATGCAGATTTTATTTAGTCATATATCAAACTAATAAGTTTTTAAGATCAACTTGAAATGTTTTCTTCAAGTTATAATTTGATATCATAGGCGTGCGAATTACGAAAACACGCGTCACTAAAATGACTGTGAAGAGGTTTTTCTAAAAAAAAATCTTTATGAATAATGTGTATCGTGGACACTGATAGCATCAATTTGATTCATTCTAATTTTTGATCAGACGTCTTTGGTTTTAGCAATTTGATGACGTCACTAATCGCTAAATTATGCTTTATCACATAAGGCCATTTGCAATTAGTGACGTTATCAAACAATTGGTTTAAGTGGAATTGCAAGAACCAAAGACGTCTGATCGAAAATTGGAATGGTGCTATCAGTGTCCCCCGATACACTAAAAATATAATTAAACTCCTTTACAATTCCTTTAAGGGTTGGGTTAAGTTGACCCAAAATTTGCTTTTCAGAAAATTGTAAAAAAACGTTGTCATACGATCCACTGAAACTTCTTTAAGGTTATCCAACAGAAACCTTGGGGAAATTTAATACTTCCTTACGTGAAAATAATAATTGATATTTAAAATTACTCTTCGTGGTTTCTATCTTGTACTGTTGCAAAACGAATATTATTTTAATGACAATCCTTGCAAGGATAACAACTAAGGTTCACAGTTAAGGATCCTTTCTACTTGGATCCTTTCCTTGGCCAAACCTCTTGGCATTGATCTTTCCTGGATTATCCGTACCCATTTACAACTGGGTCGACTGGAATTATGAGTGAAGATGACTTATGTAAGACAGAAATCTAAAAGAAATCACCTTTTTGTTTTTTTACAAATCATCTAATTATGTAAATATTGTCGATAAAACCTCTGAATCGAGCAAAATAATCTGCTCCACCCTCCTCATTTCATCTTACAAGTTTGTTTGTTAATACTGCTATTGTTATTCACGATGTTATCAATTTTAATAGAGACACATTCAATAGACCTCACTCATAGTTTTTATGGGAAAAATTTTCTTTGTGGTTATAATTATGTTTAGCTTTTAACAGATTTTGTATTTGATAGTTTTGTTAGATTGAAACAGTGACTTAGTATTTTATAGCTAGACGAAATAACTTCAAATCCCTCCCAAGGCTGTAAGTCAGAATAAAATATTAGGCCTTTTTAACCCTAGAGCACAGATCGCATGACTCGGTGGAAGTGTAGCCTATAGTTTGTGTTGCATGCATTTTAACACGATTCGTAGTGAACTGTGCGTTATTCTAAATGAACTGTGCGTGATTCTAAATGAACTGTGCGTAATTCTAAATGATCTGCGCGTGATTCTAAATGAACTGTGCGTGATTCTAAATGAACTGTCTGTGATTATAAATGAACTGTATGTCATTCTAAATGAACTGTGTGTCATTCTAAATGAACCGTCCGTGATTCAGAATGAACTGTCCGCAATTCCTTATAAACTGTCCGTGATTCTAATGAACTATTCGTGATTCAAAATGAAATTCCATGATTCACAATGATCTGTCCTTGACCTTCATTCACAATAATCTGTCTCAGACCATGATTCGCAGTGAGCCATTCATGACCATAATTCATAATGATCTGTCCTCGATCTTGATTATCAATGATCTGTCCACGATCTTGATTCGCAGTGATCTGTCCTCGACCTTGATTCACAATGATCTGTCCTCGACCTTGATTCTCAATGATCTGCCCTCGACCTTGATTCTCAATGATTTGTCCTCGACCTTGATTTTCAATGATCTGTCCTCGACCTTGATTTTCAATGATCTGGCCTCGACCTTGATTCTCAATGATCTGCCCTCGACCTTGATTCACAATGATCCGTCCTCGACCTTGATTCTCAATGATCTGTCCTCGACCTTGATTCTCAATGATTTGTCCTCGACTTGATTCACAATGATCTGTCCTCGACCTTGATTCTCAATGATCTGCCCTCGACCTTGATTCGCAGTGACCCATACTTGTTTTGTTTTTGTTCTCGATTTGCAGTGATTTTCGAATCGAATTGATCTGTCCGTGATTCAAGGTGAGCCATCCTTGATTGACAATGATCTATCTTTAAATAGCAGTCATTTGACCTTAACTCTCGAAATCTGTCCTTGATTCAAATTTTAAACTTTCATTAAAATGACAGATCATTTAATGTCACAAATCGGTGGGTTCAGGATATAACCGCGGTTCCCTTTACCTTATTGATATTGGTCAGTTTGTTTGACCAATGTCCAGTGTGATATTGTATCTATAGAACGTAATTTAGGTTAATACCTTTGGAGTCACGCCCTGATATGTAGCCTATATATCTCAGATAAACGTTGACATTTTTTTTAAATTCATGATCCGTGATTTATATTTCTCTCTCAGAATGAGATCACAATTTTGAAATTTGTTTCCAATCCCTGCTTCATGGATAACAATTGAAACATAATTGGACACGTTTGTATTTCAAGCTGATTTTTATGGTATTCAAGTTCTGTCTTGACCATGAATACAATTGAGGGGAACATTAATCTTCCCTCTATCCCTGCATTTTTTTGCAGCCCGTCTCAATGGAACCGGCCAGGGAGGGACGAGAACATTTTCAAAAGACATTGTACATAAGTGCACCGTTGATAAGACACATAGTGTTTTTCACCCATACAAAATAAAACAAACCACTATAGTAATATATGTTATAGTTTTGCCTTGACCTGAAACCACTTCCTTTGATACGAGGAAAAAATGTGTTGGAAACAGAAAATATGGTAAAAATTATCATTTTACATACCGACAAATACCAAAACATGACTTTATAACGAATAACATGACTTTTTGACGAGGAACATTTCCTTTGAAGTTATATTGACGATATATTTAACTCATGTTTCTACATACGTTACTAAATTCTAGTAATAGCTAAAATCTACGACTATCGCAAAATCAGTTGCGTTTTTATAAATCATCAGGAAAAGTGGGGGGTGGGGGGTGGGGTGTGCAAGTGGGATCTCATAGGCAATTTTTCGACTGTGGGACAAATCTCGGTCAGTTTTTTTTCGAGGGGAGGAGGTGCAACTACAAAAAGTACAATTTGAATGTTAATGCTATTTTAATTGATGTCTCCATTAAAGGGACAGATTCGCATTTTCAGGGATTGATTTGGTCTCAGGGAAAAACGAGTCGTCTTTTTCAAACGCAGAAAATTCTAGACACACATTGATATGAAGGCTCAAATTTCGACGGTGAGCTGCGAACACTATTACTGATAAATTAAGCTAAAAAAGTCCTGATTCTGAGACTAAGGTACGGTTGATCAAACAAATGGCCCTTTTAACTGTAGCTACTATCGAGCATGTATCTTTCATACACGACGCACACCTTGAGGGCTGTTAATCAATAATAATTTTGAAATGATAGTCCCCCTTCAGGCACTTTATACAATCAATACCAAAGGGAAATGGTGTCATTAAATGAAGCAGATTTAAAGAAGGTCATAGCATGTCCAACAGCTGTCGGTCTATTATACGTCATATTGATTTTACAGTTCAACATTATTGACAGATTATTAATAATCACGTGCCTCAATGTAGATTTAAAGAAATTGGACCAGTAAAGCCGTCTAGAGTAGACTGCAGAGCACATTACAGCTCCAAGCTGGAATTTAAAATAATTTAATTAAATGTCTTTATAATCCAGGTGAAGACAATGGCAACGTGGACATTCTCTACTCATATCCATCTACTATATGGACGTTTAAATTAATTGTAAAGTATTCCGTCTCGGTTTTCGTCCCACACTGGAGACAAACTACCCATTAATTCACTGGATGTTTGAAAATATACATTCTCTGAATCACAAATAATTAGGCAACTCGAATATCGTATGAAAACATTAGTATTCAATATCATGTGTGTTTCTGAGACCCATTTAGACCAAATTCTGACCGCAAATTGATTGAGCAGTACCTTCTAGCTAATTGAACATGATAAATTCGTCTCCCAGCTTAGTGTAAAAAAGGAAAACGAATATCAGAGCATCTAAAAACGCCTTATAGCCAGTGGCGGAACTAGCCTTCCGAGACTAGGGGGACAAATAGGGGGCAGACTCACTTTATGGAGGGACAACTGCTAAGGCTGAAGTCAAATTTTGGCTACTGGGGGTACAATTCGGAGGACAAACCACTTTTCTAAGGGGCAAATGTCCCTCTGTAGCACCACTGGCGCCGTCACTGCTTATAGCTAAGTTTCCAATGGATTATGAACTAGTTACGAACTCAAAAGTGAGTGTTTTTCTGCAATGTCTCACTTGAAAGGTGTTGAAGCTAAAAATAGGGATTTGATTCATCTAATCGAATCAATAAGATTAGGATAAAGATTTAAGATTATCCTTGGATTATCACCTCAAGTAGGATAAAAGTGTTATAAATCTGAATATTATCACATTTACCCTTATCTATATATAATGACCACCTGTGAAAGCTAAAATACAGAAAAACATTATTTGATCATGCGAGCTAAGAACCGTTTCTATACGGATTTAAGCAAAATAAACGCCAAATTGTGGAGAAATATGACATTACAGAGCCAACCATCAAAACTAGGTCCGTTTTGGGCAAGCAACCTTGGATACGATACTATATTTGAGTTATTAAATCCCTCTCCCAGTGTTCAACATTATGCGGGTTTTTTTGTTCATTGTGAAGTTTGATTTTTGCGATAAATAAATATTTGATTTAAATTCAGTCCTAAATAAATTCACCCGTAGCTTTATTTTGAGCACTTCATTCATCTGATCAGAGAAATAATGAACCGCAAAAGTTATAATAAAACTAATAACGACGTGTATAACGAATCAGTTATTTTTGTGAACCAAACTATACCTTTAAATGACGTCGTGTGTAATGTAATTAAGTCAGATACCAATCATGATAACAGAGACACACGATACGATCTAATCATAATAATAAGGTAATAACAAAGGTAGTGATATCTCTCTGGGTTAATACTGATTATCAAGATATTCTGATTGATAAGACTCGATAGTACTGACGATAAGCAGATCTGATATGTCCACAACCTCGTGCCTTAAAGAAATAATACCTCTTTGAATGGACATGAAATCTAAAGTCTCAAACTTGGTCAATAAGAGCATATATTCACCAGTTGGACTTAACAGGTACTATGAGTAAATAATAGAATCTATATAAGATGATATATCCATTTAACAAAGTCATCATTGAAGACGCTACTAAGAGTGTTTCAAAATTACTCAGTTAAAAGGATTATTACCTAGCTTGACATCGAAAGAAAAGAAAAAAGCGTCCCCCATGTAATTAAAAACTTACCATCCCATGCAAATAAACACTTACTCTCTCATGTAAATAAACACATACTCATCCATGTAAATAAACACTTACTCTCAAATGTAAATAAACACTTACCCGAACTTCCTGTTCCGTTATGCCCACTTCCGCTGCAATAATTGTCACATCTAAATCCGACGGATTTCGATTATCCTTAAAGTTTGCTTCTAAAAGCTTTGCTTGCTCCATACCGAGTTTAGGCAGAAGATACGAGGGAGTTAAATGAGCTTGGATGCTCGCCATTGCTGTCAGTAATTGCACAACCCACAAAAAAGGAAAACACTGCAACGAAATAAAACTGGTGATATTTGAAATTTCTTCACAAAAAGCTTTCCATAATCCAATATATCTTCAGAACATTTTTTAGAACACTGAGCACAAATTGTTCCTCATGACATGATTTGAATCTCTGACCGCCGTGGCAAGAATGTCGCAGTGTGGTTACATGGTTATTTTGATCCTAGAAGCGCTACTCAAGTCTTCAGAATCTCCCAGCTGATCGATAATATTATTCTTCAAGGTCTCCTACGTCACAATCTAGTGATTATTGATGTTATACACCACTTTCAATATCAACTGTCAATAATAAAAGGCCTTTATATACTGATGTCAACACTGTCAGTACATGATAGAGTATATAGAAGGTAACACATAGTATGGTGTCAATATACTATATAACAGCAATGTTGTCTAAAGGCTAATTCTTTCTAAATACACTGGTATACAGTGGTTGGCAATGACTGTAAAGCCTCGCACAATGATCGACGTGTTTGGCTCACGAAGTAACGAATTGATTAAAATCAACCAGCGGAGAGTGACATCTGTCAGCTAAACCCTTTCTTTTCTTCTCATAGGCAATTAAAACTATCTTGGACAAGCCATTGGTCACTATTTCATTCGCATAATGGCGTTCACATATTTAAAGCAACGCTATAATAATACCCCAGTGGTTCTTCATTAAACATAGATAAAGTATAAATCGATATGTATGTATTTATATAAAGGTATATCCAGATAGTTAGGCCTACTACACATAGACTATTTGATTAAAGATCTGAAAGAAGGAAAAAGAGAAGTCATCCTGGTTACATGATAATAGGAAGAAAAATGTAACTTGTAACCTTGGTGATATCGCTATTACTTACTCGAATTTCATAAAATGAAGGATTTTTGTCAAGACACAAGTTCAATAGGCTTTCGTCCTCTAGCTTGTGACAAAGGTCTTTTCCCCGTTTTACACTTTCATTCTTGGACCTTCGAGTTTCATCCCCCCTCACCACCAGTGACTAACCAGGTGTTATTATTCATATTGTGCCTTACAATAGTGTGCCAAATGAATAATGTGCCGAATTGAAGATATGCCTAAGTCACAGCGCGTAAATGACATTGTGTCGTATATAAGTATGCCTAAAAATGTGTGCCTAATAATTATGTGCTTTATTGGAGGTGTGCCTAAGTCACTGTGCCTATTTAACGCTGTGCTTATATGACCCGTGTCCAAATAACCGCGTGCCTAAAAGAAGTGTGTCTAAAGTACCGTGTCTAACTGTCTTGTACTTAAAATATTTGTGCCTTAATGCTAGTGAACCAGTATTTCGGACACCAATATACCTTATGGCTAAAATATTGTGTGTAATCGATGTAGCTTTGACAACATTCGGCGACATGATGTTCAGGCTCATAGCTATAGCCTAAGCTCTTTATGGTTAGTTGAAATTTTCCAAGATGGTCCAATTATTGGACTCGACAGTTCAGTCAAGACATACATCTCCAAACCAATAATTCTAGTCTGGTAATCCGAGACGTATAATATTATTCAAGATAATTTTCCTCGACTTCACAGGCATAAAAAAGCTACGATTACATGTGTACGTAAGCGTTACTCAAACTCAAACCCAAGCTCAAACTCAAACTCGTACGATGATTCCACAAAACCACCATTGTATAAAGGAAACCAAGTGGTATTATCGTATCAGTAAACAAAGCAGGAGAGGAAAGTTTACCTGTCCATAGTCATCCGCAAACGCAAAAAAAAAAACCGCTCACTGAGACATCCGTTGCGCTTACGGAGGTTTTGATTGACACATCTAAGCAGAATATTGGATATGCTAAGGATTTGGATAGGATTTGCTTTGGTCGGTTTTTTTTAATTGAGTATGCGTTTGATTTTGAGTTTGCGCACACATGTAATCGCAGCCTAAAAAGCTACAACCACATTAGGTAGAAAAAGACATGAACATAATTTACCGACATTGCTATAACTAAGCCCTACAAATTTGGTCGATTTTCAACTAAGCCCCAAATAACATACGTGTACTTGTATTTTCCATGGGGTGCAGTTTGTATACCAAGTTCAAGAAAAAACGATATGTATAAATGTATGTATAAATGTGAATCATACAAATCACAAAATTGACTTCGATTGTTCAAGATGGCGGAGCCTATGGAGAGAAAGTCAACAATTGATTTTTTACGAACGGAGCAGGGGACGAGTTCGAGACGTGATAAAAAAGTAGAAGGATTTTAAGATCATCCAGTTCATTGTAGTTTCTAGTAGTTGGTCAATGCTCAGGTCTACCTAGATGCTTTGAATTGCCAGTTGATATGAGTCCAACGTAGGTTGTTCACTATCCAATGAGATCTATGTAGTCGAGTAAGCGCAGAGGCGTAGCCAAAGGGGGGAGGGGGGGGGGGCGGAGGGGTCATCCGGCCCCCACCCCCTTGCAGCACCGAAAGCAAGTTTTTGGACTAAAATTTCATAATTAAGTTAGATATTCGGGCAATCTCAGATATTTCGACCCCCCACGCCACTGAGTAAGCGTTTCATTTTTGGAAATCCGTTATTCAGTAATAGTGCATATATATAGCCGACAAAACTTATTTAATGCTCAATCATTTTTATGACAAATTTACATAATTAAGAAATAGTAAATATATGAAAAGAAGATCAAATATTGATAAACACAATTAAATTATTTTATATTTCTTGACACTGGTGAATTGGTTGAATCTTGGGTGAAGTTTGATTTTGTATGTTTCTGAAGTTTTGAAAATTGGCTTTATCTGACGATCAATCAGAGAGTTAAAATAAAATCGAAATACAGAAAACTTTACTTATCTAAAAAGCAGGAAATGGACTTCGCGGATTTATTGCATACGGACGACACTGCAGATATCGGCTTAAAATGAAAATATTTCTTTTGCATATCTGACAAAGTATATCAGTAATGCGACATGGACCTAAAGGTAAAAAGACAAATTGTTGCACTGGATTTGGATTGGTTGTCGGACTGGTTGTCGGACTGGTTGTCGGATTGGTTGTCGGACTGGTTGTCGGGCTGGTAGTCGGGCTGGTTGCCGGGCTGGTTGCCGGGCTTGTTAACGGACTTGTGCTTTGACTGACCATCGTCAAGAAAGAAGCACAAGCGTCACAACATTCTATGAGCTCTGGATAGCTAAAGACTTGACAATCGGCTGGATTACATGTTATACCAGTCCGATCTCCTTGTGGACATAAGGCTGAAATAACAAAAGCCTTGTGTATTTGGTGATTTTCAAAAGGCTGTATGCCGACTTGACAGAATTATTTTTTAAAAGAACCACAGCTGTTGAATCAGTCTAGATGTGGACATCGTAAACCAGCCCACCAACATCATCTATAATCAAATATGAGCGCATTGTTTGGACAATAACGAAAACTTTCGCCACAACATTGTGAAAGTGGAACTCTTCCAAGAACTTAAAGGGATTGTAAGGAGGTTTTATAAAAGATCTTATGTGTATCGAGGAGACTAATAGCATCAATTTGAACCATTCCAATTTCCAGTCAGAGGTCTGTGGTTCCTGCAATTCCACTTAAAAAAATAAGTGGTTGATGACGTCACTAATCGCGAAATACGCTTGTATAAAGCCTGCCAGAGTTTTAGAGAAATTTTGAAACGCCTTATTTCTGTCTAAAGGTTTAAGGACGACGAGACCTTGCTATACAAAGTAAAACAAAGAAACCACATACAAAATAGGATCATATCAATCAAATTCAAATACAGCTTGGTTTCTGTTAGGTCTCATACAATATTATCAAGCACATGTTCACATGTTCAACCAATCGATCGCTATGTTTAGCAAAATGACAGTTTTGGCCAGTGCTCTATAGATCTTTTCCCGAATTAAGCTGCGATTACATGACGTGTACGTAAGCGTAACTTTGAGTCAAACTCAAAACGTGATAACGTCCACAAAACTGTCATTGTATAAAGAAAACCGAGTGGGATCGTGTCAGTAAACAAAGGAGGGGAGGAAAGTCATCCACAGTAATGATGTCATAAAAGGGGTAAAGTTGTCCGTAGTCGTCTGCAAACGCAAAAAAAATCAATTGCTCTTACGGGGGTGTTGAGTTTGAGTTTGAGGACATATGTAGGCAGAAAATTGGATTCGCTAAGGATTTGCTCTGGTCCGTTTTTTATTGAGTATGCGTTTGAGTTTTCGTTTGAATTTGAGTTTGCGTAAACATGTAATAGAGTTCAAGAAATGTCAACTCTAAATGTAGAATGGATGAATTAACCCATTGAAAAGAAAGGATACAGAATATCAAAAGATGGTCTTTGTTTCAAAAAAATGTATATTTTTAATAATTAATTAAAGCCTCTATATTTAAATACGATTGATAAAATACCGTTATTATTGTAACTTACGTGATGTCGTAGGTGGCGCTAATACATCATCTGTACATAGTCCACGGAGGCACCACTGAAATTAAGGTTTCCCCATGTAGAATTGATACATTCAAATGTAAGGCATAAAAAGATCTTAAATGCTCTTAACCGTTCTTTTCAACTTTCCCTCACGGTACTTGTTCGCTATCGGATATGCAATGGATAAAATACCATGATATTGTACAATTCAACAGTGCAAATCAAGTTCTTAATCTTAAGCAATCAAATCAATAATCATACTAGCCTCTATAATCCAGTCCCTCTTTGTCTACGTGTTATCTAAATGTTCGCAAATTCTTAAGATGATACTCATGTAGACGGGAATTCAACCCATTTGTACTTACCTTTCCGCTACCACAACTTGTTCGTTCTTTTGCTATAATTGGTTGACACTGGCCAGCGACAGGGTTGAAACATAACATGCGGATACACATATTGGCAAAATTGTCTGTATTTAAATGTCCATTCTGAAAAAAAAAAAAACACCAGCAAATAGACTACGTTCTGGTATGACATGATACATAACAGATATACTGTGACGGGGTCAAGTGTTGAAGTATGTATTGTTGTATTTAACAGTATGTATTATCAGGGCATCTGCCGAGGTGGTTAAGGAATGGTGAAATTCTTGTGTAAAAGAAGTAAGAATCTAAAAAGAATTTACCCGACAGAAGTACGAATCCCCTGAGTCAAAGAACAATCGACATTGTTCATCAGCTACAATAACTTGTCCAGCTATGTTTGATGCAGCTACTGGGGGATTTTGATTGTCATCGGTCAGCAAACAGGCCTGACTGAAAATAAGATTTTAATAATTATTACACAAATAAACGCAATGTGCAAGATGATACCAACGTATATTGCTAATGCGATCTCTCCGTACCCAGACTCCCTTTGCCCGTAGTTGCGCAAGCGGAGTATGTAGCCGTAAGCGTGACAAAAACACATTCTATTTTTAGTTAAAACAACTCAAACTAGAAAATTGAACGATTTTTTTGCGCCCACTGATGCTGTTTGTATCTTAAATAGCAAGAATGACGTCAGGATATATATACGGCAATTCTCGGCAGTTTCCGTAAGCTGAATCTGATTCGGTAATGAATGATGAATCCCGGTATGTCTTCTTGGCGAGACTCTTTACTTCCGGAACCTAACAGTAATTGGGAGCCTTTGGGAGATAATTCTGACAATTTCCAGTATCACGTGATCACGTGACAATATTGACGTAGACACCAAATCACTGGATTAGTACAATAAATAATATTATTTCCAAACTCGTTTAATAAAAAATGTCACTTTGCATTCTCTCTATATCATTATAATGGTTCTTACTTTTGAGCATAAAACGCGATGTACCGAGCAGTACATTCAGAAAATATCCAAGGATTAGATATTCGTTCATCATTTGGGCTCATGGCAAATGCTGACATTATAAAAGCATCGGAATCAGAGCATCCACTCGCTTGACCGTCATGTAGACTACCAAATCTAAATAATAAAAATGATTAAAGTAAACTCTGATGACATCATATAAAAAAAAAACCAGTTTGTCCTAGTCAAACAACACGAGGATTCTTTTCCCAGTTGGTCCTAAGACAAACTCTTGACCGAAATTAGAACTCGCGTTTGGAGAGCAAGCAAAGCTCAAAAGAGTCCTATTTCTTAAAGGCTCTCTAGACTTTTTGTGTATCGAGGACATAAAAAAAATACGTAGTTTCGTTCCAATTTTCAGTCAGACGTATGTGTTTTTGCAAAGCCACTAAAACTCAGGTTTTTATTACTAAGCCTATGTGACGTCACAAAAAGCTTAGTTTGAGTGCAAATGACACAGACGCCTGACTGAAAACTGGAATGGTGCACCTCTGTGTTCCCGATACATAATGAAGAGTTCAGAGAAAAGGAAAAAAACTTAATTTTTATTGGTTCCCTCATGTGAAATAAACATCTTTGCTTGACTAAACATTCTTGCCATATATTGGACAGTAAAGTTGCCAGGATTTCATTGACCGGGGGGAGGGGGGCATCCCTATCATTTTTTCTATCTCGAGGAGACCCCCCACCCCTCCCTAAATAAGCCACTGGTATAACATCAAACCTTTTTTGGCAACTTCAAATTACAGCACATTTTAAGATCGGTCGATTACAGTGAACTATAAATAATATCTTACGAGTGTGCAAGTTCATGTGAAGCTATTAATTCATCAAATCCAGAAAAAAAAATTTCAACCAATGAGGTCCTATTTCGTTCACACATTGTACCAATAAACGCCAGCCCTGAAGTGAAAAACATATTTTAAGATTGAAATATTACAACAGAATCTGAAACATGTAACGCTATGAAATCTTCAGACAACATGACTGACCTATTTCAATCTACTACCCTATATACTGAAGTGGAATTTGTTTTCTTGGCTACACTTTGAAAGTTCGAAATGTTTGTTTAAAGGGACATATGCCCCATTTTGGGGGATTGATTTGAGTCTTGAATATATTTGAATTTACTGTGATTTACTCGTGATTTTCTCTTAAGTTTTGCCTACAACCTCTGTTCATGTCGCAGAATAAAGCCTGATTGAATAAAACGACTTCAAAATTTTACCTACAACCTCTGTTCATTTCGCAGAATAAAATCCTGATTGAATAAAACGACTTCAAAATTTTGCTAGACTACAAAGCGCCTCACTAACAAAACTGGCTACCCCTCTTCAAATTTTGGCTACTCTGTGGTGGTGTCATAGTAGCAAGCCTCTCATAGCACATCTTAGAGCCCCCACCCCCTGTACCTCTACTGGCGCCACCACTGCTCGAGACTTAATGACATGTTTTTTATTATAATAGTACTTACCCACCAAATTCGGTGAATTGTCTATACCTATATCATCACTACAAAAGAACAAATCATAATATATTAGAAGAATGCCCTAAAATATAAAAATAATTGCAGTAACTCCATCTTCTTGTTTGCCGCACCATGTAGCATCTTACTGGTGCGTCTGTTTATCGTCCATCCGAAATGCTTTTTGCATGTCACACCCTTCGATCCTCTAAAGGAATCAACATCTTAAAATGGACATAAAATTTAAGAATTTTAAACTTGACCAATAAGAGCATATATTCATCAGTAGATATACCTGGTGTCATAAATAACATAACAGGATCCTTATATTATCCGATAAATCCAAAAAACTTAGTAATTATCCATAAATATGCAATTAACTATTGAACAAACGCTTAATATTAAGATTACGTTTTTAATAATTACTTAGTTTTATGAATTTCAATTTTCCAGATTTTACAGGGATTCTGTTGTAACTTTATGACACCAAGTAAGTTCACTGATGAATATATACTCATATTGACCATTCTTGAGAACTTAAATTTAAGTTCATTCCAAGACGTATAGTATCACTTTAAGTCGACATAGATTATCTCCAAAGTGTATACTTACGCTGTAAACCACATAGCATGATCATTGATAGGAAGGTTGTTTTGATTTGTTTCTTGTTCTACCCAGTCGGTAAATTCAAAAATACCCGGTATGGCATCAACAAAACCATTGACATTGTTATTTAAATTATAAGGTGAATCGGCAGCAGTCTACAAAGTTTAAAATCAACGTTTTACTCGATTTTTACTCTGTAAAGTCTAATTAGACATTAGACTTTACGTTCCCAACCTTTTTCAGCCTTCATATACCCCTTGATCAATCATCTCCAAAAATTTGTTTCATCCACATTTCCAGCACCCCAGGTTGGGAACCAGGGGTCTAAATGTTTGCTTTATCGTCTGTTAGATCTTACTTTACAGGGCCGTAACTAAGGGTCTATTTTCTGAGGCAAAAACCGTGTTGTCTTTAAAGTCAGATATCGTAACGCTTTCGGTAAATATCAAACGGCTACCACATTTACCGTAGACATCAAATAATCAATACATTTAGCCGATATCGTATTTGTATCTTAAATTCTTAAACAAAATTTGTTGTTTGTTAAATTTGCCTTGATGAAGTTTCGGCTTAGCTTGCCGTATCGATTCGATCGATGTTGTCGATTCGTTTTCTATTACAGAAAAAAAGTTTGAAGACTACATTTTCAAGTCATTTTCATTAAATCACGTCATAGTTTGTCCGATCTATGTTTAAATTGTCAAGTGATTCTGGAGACTTTAATATTGAATAGCTGTGGAACAAACATCAGAGGCTAATCTTTCGGGACTACAAAAATGGCAAATAAAAACGAAATCTTCATAGGATATGGATTGAAATTGATATTAACAAATCATTGTAAGCTAAACTGTTGGAAGTTTGGACTTCCAGATCATTATGGCCTAAACAATGCTTTCCAAGACAGGATCTCAAAAGAAAGAGAGACTGGGATAATCAAAGCTAAATAGGCTTAGGCTGTGATTACATGTGTACGCAAACTCAAACTCAATCTCAAACTCATTAAAACAGACCAGATCAAATTCTATCTAAATCCTTAGCAAATCCAACTTTCTGTTGACATGTGTCCTAAAACTCAAACTCAATCCCTCCGTAAGCGCAACGGATGGCTCAGTGAGCGCTTTTTTGCGTTTGCAGACGTCTATGGACAGCTTGACTCCCTTTATGACATCGTTCCTGTAGGGTACTTTCCTCCCCTCCTTTGTTTACTGACCCAGTAGCACTCGGTTTCCTTTACACTGACAGTTTTGCGGAATCATCGTACGTACACAATACGTTTTGAGCTTGAGTTTGAGTTAAGCTTACGTACACGGAATCGTAGCTTAATACTCATACTTACATCCGTAATAACTATACCGGCTGGTTCTAATAAAACTGTGATCGGTTCATGAACGGACAGCGTTTCATATCTCTCGGCCATCTGTAAGTAATGTAGACAGGCATGGTAAATAAAGAACAACGGAGCCTAGCATACATTGAATTCTCGTGAGTCGTTTCCCCGTGCTGCCACGTATCGTGACTCCCTTGACGTAGCTGTTAAGTGAACGGTAAGCGAATACAACAGGGTACCAGTTTACACACGGTGGTACTCTTCAAATTGAAGACTTGATTGTTCGGAGGGGAAAATAATATACCCGGAGGGCCATCAATTGGTGATTAGTTGCAGTAATGGAATTGGTCGGTTGTTAAAATTTTTAGAGGACCATCCGTTTATTCTCGGGAAAGGGGTTGGGGGTCGGGGGCATTGCCCTGTTCCTGTATCACAAAACAAGAAAATAGACTTAGATATCCATGTGTACTTCTACTAACAGCTCTCGAATATAATGTTACCTGAATTCGTTATTGTATAATATGTAGCATAGCGCTAGCTTTCGCGGGGAAATAAATTTTATTGGATAGTTCAAAATACTTACCCCCAACAGAATAAATGAGTAATAGATCATAATTTCAACATTGGCTAAAGCATCATTTCCAAAAGATCTCGTCAAAAATCTATAAAAAAATCAATCGAAAGCTTTTACTTTATCAGTCCAATTAAAACTAGACCAAACTTTCGTTTTTTTTATCAGGTTTTATTCTTAAGCTATAGCCACTTAGATCTAAAGACATTGAACATTCGTACATTTGATGATATCGTCAGCCAATCAAATTTCTGACCTCTCCAACGCTTGGATTTGTAATTCCCGTTAGAGCTAATTCTCGTTTGGGTTGCTATTTTCCCATAAGTACTACTAGGATATTTTAATAGATTGAATATTGAGAAAAATCAAAATATTGTTCACTAGCACATTTTTTTTACAAAACAAAATAACAAAAGTTATGTCACACTCAGCACTAAATTTCAAACTTTTTCCTACATATATTTTTCATTTGTTAGATTGCATTATATACATCTTGTTCCAAAGAACATAAAATACAAAACCTAGGTAAATCGATCCACATTTTGTTCACATTAAGCAAAATCTTGCTTCCGGTTAAGCAGAATTTTTTTATCTACACCTTCAACCTAGAAATGCGAAACCAGTTTCGGTTTTTGCTACGAGCGTGGACGAAAAAAATTATAATGAAAACATGGCATGTTGATGTTTATCACCAACAATCATACTTACTTTTCTTTGACACTAAAATCGGTCACCATTAAGATTTCAGCAGTATACGTCGTTATTTGTCTTTTCGACCGTCGACCAAAATTTAGAAGTTCCTCATTTGTTGGTAAGTGGGTGCCTATGATATACACATAAGAATGAAAAATGATTTTGAAATAAGCCTTAATGCATTTGTGAAGTGACAGATAGACTTGAAAAATGAGACTTATATTTTAGAATATCAAGCACCTATTAATGTCTTCAATTTGAGAATTTGTCGACATGAGATCACATTATAAATAAGCTATATCAGATCTGTGTTGATGTTTTTATTATGGAAGGGTGCCGTGGAAATCCTAATCTTCCAGCCCAACTTTGTCTATGTACAGCTTCGATGAAAGATGGCACGGATCGACTGCTTAAATATTTGTAATTGACCGAGACTACAATGGCTATTGAATCTGATTGGATGACGTTTGATTTTGATTAACATTAGGGGATAAAAATATCAAAAATATAAACTGAAAGAATTTGTCGGGGTTGTCATATTGTTTCGGGTGTAAACTTGAGACTTGTAGATCGAATATATGCTTAATTGTAGTTATCCTCCTTGATGGAAGTTGAAGGTGTTGTAACTTCAAGGAAAGTTCCAGACTATATACTCGTCATAGACAGGAGAAGTATGGATGTAAGACACTATGGCAGTCCCTGTCTAGAGAATAGACCACTAAAAGGTATCTAACGACGCTATGTTGTATCACCTACTTCCTGGCATGAGGACATCGTTTCCATACTCTAATACATCGGCACTGGTAATATGATGTCTCCCCTTTCCATCACCAGAAGGTCTGATATTCAATTGCTCTCCATTTACACCAATGCTTCCAATCTAGAAAAAGGACATTTAAGAAGAGAAGATAAGTCGTTATTTCAAAGACAAAGTAATTCACAACAGAAGCGTAATCATTTCGAAGAGAAGTATGCATGTATGATCATGGAAATGTTCTCTTGTTGTGCGCATGAAACAGTACACTGCAAAGCTGTAAACGTAAAGCCCTGCCTCAGACGAGAGGAACTAGCTCTGCCTCGAGAAGTCCGTCTTCACAATGTCAAGGTATTAAGAAATTTGTCTTACTGCAATAGTCTCTATTCTTATATCATAGAAGTTTGTAAATGCGGTGATTTGATCGGATTGTATTCTAGTGAATACAGCCAATCAAATCGCTGCACTCAGTGCATGTATAAGAGGATATTGTAAACTCGGGAGCTCAGCTGTTTCCACCGTCTGCGCTTAATTTCTAGTGAGATTTCTGCCTTGAGAATTTGTGTGGAAAATATCTATCTATCTGCCTATTGATATTTTCTGCCTAAAGATGTCAATAATTTTTTTTTTAAATTCTCCATTTTCGGGGATTGATTTGGGTCTTGAATGTATGTGAATAGTCTTCAGAAGTACTACTAGAAATGTACGAAAAAAAATTCCTTCAAATTTCTCAAACTAGGAATTAAACTTTCTATTTCTATAAAAGTCAATTCTATATATTACAGTCTTAAGACAAGATGAGGTGTCTTTTCAAACGCGGATAATTCTGGACACGCGTAAATTTCAGGGCTCAAGTTTCGATGGTGAACACTATTAGTGATTAGCTCAGCTACAATATTCCCTAATATTTTCTAAGACTTGAAGTACAAATGGTCAAAAGGAAGGCGAATCTGTCCCTTATAATGTGCGTTATCAAAACACAATATACTTACGACTTCAATGCCGTCTTTTCTTGGAGACACCATCACAGGTTTGCCTGTTTCTTGGTTTATGTATATACGAGAATGTGAAGGTTCCTGGCCGATGTACGATTCCTGTTAATAATAAGGAAATGTTTAATTCATAGTAATACCATTTTTTTTTAAATAAAAATTGACATTTAGTAACGTAAAATATTCAGCGCCAGCGTATATTCTAAAGGAGATAATTTTACTCATGCATTTGGATCGATTTATGTGCATCAATAGGCAAAATAAACTTACATTTGATAAAACCAATTTTTCGAAGACACCATTTCTACAGACGTATACCGGATAATTCACTTCAGGTCCCATCAATAATTTAAGCCTCTTCATCATTTTTTCTGACATAACATCCAATTCCAGGTTTGGTGGAAGACTTCTCTCAGATCTCAGCGAACCGTCATGTTCTATGGTAACAGTGTCTGTGAAGAAAAGTTAATTTCTACAAAGCTAGCCAGTAACGGTAATGCTACAAAATTTTAATACATATAAGCGTTTACTTTCAGAACTTAATTACTTTTAGAGCATCAACCAAAAACACTACTTGTCTGCCCAAGGTTTATTCGGTCAAAATGGTCTGGTTGTAGCGCACGTAAGCTCCACCTACTTTCCTCTAAGAATCTATTTGGCTTTCATGTTAAGTTATCCAAGTATGGTACAACAACAAATTGCTTTTAATAGATAATATTTACATTTTATTGTCACGTGCTCGAGTGAACTTTAGCCATGGAATAACATCAAAATTAACATGCTGTACCATAGCTAAGCTCCACCTACTTTGTTCTAAGATTATATTTGGCTTTCATGTTAAGTTATCCAAGTATTGTACAACAACAAATTGCTGATAATAGATCTTGGTTTTCCTCAAACACACATTATAAGCAATTTATAAAACATCAAAATAAAAAATGCAAGTTATGTTACAATAATGGTTATATCATTATACAAGAGATATGATATTATGATACATATACAGAACCTTTACCTACCGATAATCTTTTCTTCGGATTTCTTAGTGGAAGAAAACTGTCGTGAATCAACAACCACTGTAGACAGCAGACAAGCTACCAATAGCGAAACTAACGTCTGAA